TGATCTCGTAGTGTTCGTAGAAACGTTCTCTAGGCAGAAAAAATCGTGAACTCACGTTTCCCGGAAAAGTTCACCGCTGCTGTCCAACACCAGTTGCCCGCTATAATTGTTCCCGCAAATGAACGTGGTGTACGCCATAACAAAGTGCACGCTTAGCATCACCGCATCCCTGTCGTTCGACTCCGTGATGCTTATGAAAAACTGTGACACGGGAAAGGCAGTCTCGGTTACGCTTCCTTCGACAGAAGTGCGAACGTTTCGCGCGACACGTTTTACGGTTTCTTAATTCTCTCAATTTCGACTGATACTTGCCCCGTACAAATTTACACCGAACGCGACGATGACTACTAACGTTAACAGCAAACACAGCAACATGATGTCTTTCGTGTATCTGTGCGCATAGCTTTGTCCGCAAGTAACGACGATGTTCCAAGTATGTCGATCGTCGATGGTGACAAGATTTATAAAACAACGTAACAAAAGCATAATGAAACGTACACCGATAACATTTGAATGTCTGAATAATATTTGGACGGAGGTACCAACAAAATAGCACGACGGTGCATTTCCATAGCCGACCGTATGTCTATTGTTTTCGTTGTACGCGAATTCGCCACCGTGTTCACCGCGTTTTGCATTCGATAACTGGGGACAAAAAAAGTATACAAAACGCTGTTTTCAAATAATAAAATAATTGTTCCATCGAACGATGGTCGCGATCAATATATCGTAAATATTGTAGATATTACTCGCACGAGTTGGTCAACGATTACATGTAATATATTTTATATTATATATAAAATATTATTACATATAATAATATGTAATATTATATGTAATATTATGTGATATTATATTATATTATATTATGTAATATTGTGTAATATTATATTATATTATACTATGTAATATTATGTAATATTATATTATATTATATTATATTATGTAGTATTATATGTAATATTATATTATACTATATTTTGTAATATTGTGTAATATTATATTATATTATATTATGTAATATTGTGTAATATTATATTTTGTAATATTGTGTAATATTATATTATATTATACTATATTTTGTAATATTTTGTAATATCGTGTAATATTATATTATATTATATTATGTAATATTGTGTAATATTATATTTTGTAATATTGTGTAATATTATATTATATTATACTATATTTTGTAATATTTTGTAATATCGTGTAATATTATATTATATTATATTATGTAATATTGTGTAATATTATATTATATTATATTATGTAATATTGTGTAATATTATATTTTGTAATATTGTGTAATATTATATTATATTATACTATATTTTGTAATATTTTGTAATATCGTGTAATATTATATTATATTATATTATGTAATATTGTGTAATATTATATTATATTATATTATGTAATATTATATGTAATATCATACCTGGCGATCTTCAACATTCCACTTATGTAGGAGGCGAAAACGGTGACTGATCCCTCCGTACACGTCAACGTTAATAAACCGTATACTGTTGTCAGTGTTATGTGCCAGCAAGTGAACGCGCTCTGTTGACTTCTCTCTTTGTAAAAGAATCCCAAGAGATTTAAGAAATGAAGCTGAATATCCGAATCCACGAATGTAGAGATTCCCAGTGTCCCGACTAGACATAGTCCGCCGGTACACACCATGGCTAGAACCCGGAATTATGTTACATCAGGGCACTTAATATGTACAGTAAATTCTTCCTAATTGACGCTTAGATCGTGAGCAGCGTCAATTAGGAGGAATTTACTGTGTATGAAGAGCTTCTGTTAATATCTGCAGAATTAACGGAGACCGAACCAAAAACGTGACAGATTAATAAATAGTTATCGTCGAAAATTGTTGATACACAGCGCAAAATTACAATTGAAGTATGTTCATTCGTTTGGACAATAGAGAATTCTGATATTTGAGGAAGACTACAAAATATATCATAATTATTAATATATCTTATTTTGTATCATCCTTTCACATTATTTTTATATTACTTTATATATTATGTTTCATAATTCTACTGATGAAAAATTGAATTATGTTCATTTTTGATGTGTAAAATATTGTATATAGATGCAATACAGTATTCTCTCCATATTTGGCAAAAAGATCTCTACCATAATTGGTTAAATTTTATCCCCACCAAGCGAAGCTGACTTTCCTAATTTTTGATTCTCTTTTTACGAAGCTTTCACCATCGTATTCGTCTCGTTTTTCCGATTAAAACGCCACCAAACACGATAGATAAAAGATCGTAGTAAGAGATTCATCGACGAAAAAACAAAAAATAAGAGATATCGATATTCGAATTTAAAAAGGCTGGACTCACACAATATTCCTTTAATGTTTGCCGAACTCCTCGATCCTCGTGGAGGAGACTTACGGAGAAAATACTGTATTATTGTACTCATTACCGAAATAAGCCTGGACAATGCGCTTTGCTACTATCGAATCTTCCAATAATATCTTCAATTCGACTGGATCTTTCAGTTGAGAAAAATCTCTCTGCATATTGTCGAACACAAATGTCATCTAAAATCATGCGGGAAAAGACAGCGAGATTATTAAAATCTTACATAGCAGATGTAACAGCATTTACGTGCGTTTACGCGTTGACAAAAAAATCAATCAAGAATGAAATACTTCGAAATCCAAATCGTATGGAGAATATTTTAATTGTACCAAAGGGTTCTCCATTCGTTCAAATTGAGAAGGACGAGCGTCGTTCTCTTCAACTTACCACCGGAAATAACACGACGGAAGTAGAATATCGTAGAAAATACAGGAACAACGTGGAACCGAACGATATCATCACAATTATCTCATTCAGTGACACTTTAACGCTTGTTAATATGCATATCTGAAAAATATTAATATAATATTATATAATATTAATATAATATATATATATATATATATATATATATATATATAATATTAATACAATATATTATAATATAATATTATATAATATTAATATAATATACATATAATATTATTATAATATAATTTTATATAATATTAATATAATATATATATAATATTATTATAATATAATATTAATATTTTATAAACGCCGTATAGGAGCTAGATACAATTCGTCCATGTTCTCCAAAATGAAATAACTAAAAAAGAGAGCATTCGGTATGAATATGACGCGACGTTATGATCTTGCTATGAAAAGTCGGCTGCAGAAATGCCTCATTTTTCAGACGTCAAATTTAAGTGCGGTCATTGCATAATATAAAGAATACTATGAAAAAATTCCCACGAAGTCGAAGCAATTTAATTAATTAAACCGAAACCACAGGAAGTTAGAATTTATTATAGCGGATAACATTAGAATTCCTTCGCATCCGGAACATCCTGGTCAAATTCAGAGTTCGCGCGCGCTCGAATATATTGCAAATATAAATAATATAATGAATACAATGAAAATGAATGTTCAAAATTGGTCAAAAATTAGTGTTTTCAGTATTAAATTATTATAATATTATTTATTATACAGTATATTAAACAGTATTAAATATTTATAATATTATAATATTATTATAATATTATTTTCAATATTAAATTTATTAACCCATGCGTTAATAAACGCGGCCCTCAACGCGTTAATAAACGCGATTAGAGGGACGATCCCTTCGCGAAATATTTCGTTGCGAGTTGAATCATTGTCACCTGGCTCGCTATGCAGGTGAAGGTCATCACGAGAACAACGAATCTCTGAATGTACGTCAGGATGGATTTGTCGTAGGGCCAGAGGCCGGTGAGGCACATCAAAGTGTGGTAGAATTTGTAGTTCCCGTCGAACACTTCCATCCTTGGCCGCAGTCGAAGAACGTTTACGCGAAGAATCTGAAGCATTGTCCAACTACACCTCGGCAGCATATCTTATTTACGCCGTTCTACGATTATGTCAATTTTCTGCCAGCCTTAAAAATTCACCGTAATTCGTTCGTGTTGCGAAGGGAACCGTCCGGAATCGATCGGTTTGATTAATGGACTAAAAAAAAAATGCGAGAAAATACGAGACGCTAAATTCTCGCGATACTTGTATCGTGATACGACGTCTGCGCGTTTCTTCGAGTTAAATATTCGCAGAATCTTCTGCTGCAGTGACTTAAGAACAAGCCGGCAATTAAATCGTGCAACTTAATCTATTGAACAACTTCAACGAAAAGAATAGAAGCCTGTCTTACATGTATCGACAGAATTTAGTTTATCGGATAGACAACTCTCAGTTGTTAACATTTATCATTTCACCGTTAAACAAAGATATATATATATATAATATAATATAATATATATTATATTATATTACATAATATTTATTATATAATATTATATATATAATATTTATTATAATGTTATTATAATATAATATAATATAATAATATTATAGTTATAATATATATATATTGAATGAGTAATAAGTATATAATATAGTATAAGTATAGTATAAGTAGAAGTATATATATATATATATACTTGTCGTTTTTATAAGAAAAAATGAAATTGTTCGGTGCGAACTCGCCAATAATTCATCGAACGAAAATCAAAACATTTGAACGTATTTCTTTGACATCTCCATTTCATTTTCTTGCGTAAATCGCTTAACTTGTCCGTCATTCAATGGGACAGATTAATGACCTGCTATGAATTATAAATTTCCAGACGTAACAGCAGCATTTTTCAGAAAGACTGCGACCTAAATTATTGACGACCGATCGCGGCTGCACCGTCGAAGGAGATGATTAATAATTTAGCATTGACTAACATACGCGATGGGCTCCCCTACTGCCGGGGTCTTCGGTGTTCCGGCAGTTGGATTTCAGTCAGAAGTGAAGCCGGTCAGCGTTCATTCAGTGCAGCTGATTACTAGCGATCAGTGGTATAGGATGGAGAACAGACGAGGCATGGAGAACCCTAATTCGGACTCGGCATTGCATCGATGTGTAACAAGAATTATTTATTGAATTATATTTGGTGGGACTGAATGGGGGATGGAGTCAAAGGAGGGAGGGATATTAGTAATTCAATATAATAAATAATAATAATATAATATAATAATACACATAATAATATATATAATATAATCTATAATAATATAAATAAATATAATATAATCTGTAATAATAATAATCTAATAAATAATTAACTATAAAATATAGGATACTAGCTATGGGAATTTGGTAGATAGTCAAAATATTCACTTTTAATATTATACATTGATATCTGTGTATAAAAATGTCACTAATACATTCCAGCATCTTGATTGGAGCAGTTTCACCGCCGACGGGGTGTTAAAATGGACCACCCTGTGGGTTTTAATCGTCCCATGTTCTAAAATACTGGCATCGCTTTGAATCAGTGTTTTCGTGAACTACAAGAACTAGTGAACTACAATAAAAATGCAGTAGAAAAGGTTAGATCCAGTTTTTTTTATTATTATTATTATTATTAACCCTTTTAGTGCCGGAGGCCGATATATCGGCTCTTGCTGCACTGGCGAGAAGTGCCAGAGCCGATATACATATAGGCCCGCGCCTTATACCGCTTTATAATAACAAAATTTTACACATTTACAATATATAAATATAAATATAAATATTTATGTTATTATAACGAAGTATTATGCAAAATTATATCACAAATATATTTATGACAACATAATTTTGTTTCAGCAATGTTATATTACCTGTAACAATTACATATTTCGGAAGAGATAATCCGTCCGGCGCTTACCATGTACCTTCGAGTTGTTTTTTATGTTTGTTATGTAATATTATTTATCTTGTTACAAAATATATCAGAAATGCAAAGTATATACTTTGTAATAAATGATCTATATAAAATTATGACGAAAAGATGACTTTTTGTATGTGCAAATACGTTTTGTAAGAGAGAACTGGACTTTTACTTTCTTTACGATCTTTTATACCTTTGTTATTTATATAATTTTCAATGAATATAGAAAATCTAGTGTCACTGTTTTGTTCTCTATTTCGTCCTTAATTTACTGCTTTTCGAATCATGTAAATATTGTTTCTTGTTTGGTTTTTACGAGCATTTTCCCAAA